GAAATTTCCGTACTCCTTAATTGCAATTTAAAAGTGTTTGTTAGTCAATTTGAGGAAAAGCAAGTAAGAGAAAAATATTTTACTGAAAGCAACTCTGGAATGAAACGAAAATAAGCCTAAGGAAAACGGCATGCTTGTTGACAGGGTAGCTGGGCTCAGTTAACAAAGACTAATTAAAGATGCCCAAACCAATTAGAAGCCCATAGAAAGTCTAAGCTACAAATGACAAAAGGTACGCAGAGCACTCTACTCAGATTTTATGTCTGCTCTTTGGAGAAGCTCAACATATAAAGGGTTAATGCAATGTTTTCTTATAAAAAGTAAAATCCGAGAAAGAAAAGATGAATCTCTTCATATACAATTCAGAACAAAATATTTTAGTTTTAATCAAAGCAAAATGTACATTCTCTCCTGCTCAGACTTGTCTGCTCGCATAGCATATCGAAAACATTACATATTCTGTAAGGCTGTATTCACTAATGTCCTGCACCAATTCCAAGTCCGTTTAAATCACTGTCATTTTGAGCTGGTAGTATTTTACACCCATTTTGAAAGGCTCTGCATGATCAAATAAGACTCAGGAAACTTCTACTAAAGCTGCGAGATTCTACTAATTAAGAAATCAAGTCTATAGACTTACTATGTTAATAGCACTTTAATGCGCACAAAATTGCAAACCTACAATAAAAATGATGACTGAAATCTTGTACAATTTGAATGAGTATATTGCCATTGTTTTCAACTGGGCCTGGATCACTCTCCATCTGCAGTAAAGGATTCAAGAGCAGTTTCACAGAACTTGCTTATTTTTATCTTTATTATTTATATCTTTACTGTGGTTTTGGCTTCACAAGACAGAATGCGAGCTCTAGCTTCAATGTGTGATTCTTTCAGACAAAAAGAAACTGAGAAACGCAGAATAGTTCCGAGTATATGTCTAGGCTTAGTGTGGATTAAGTCCTCTGGGGTGAGGCAAGTCGCTTCTAGTAGCTGTTCTACAAATAAGGAAATTACTCTGCAGTTTATAAGCTTCATATTTCAAAATTGTAACATGCATTTTTAGGGGCATATAGAGCTTCAAATACACATAAGTATGCATGTAAATGTGAAAAATCAGAAGTTTGTCTTCCTTCCAATAGCTTGGCTAATCTACATTAATCAGAAAGTATGCTTTTGCAAATGATCCGTCGATTATTTTTCTTTTAAAGGCACGTAATTCAACTTACTGAGAGTGGATAATGTAAAAATACTGGAACCTATCAAGCAAATGCCACTGTGCCTCCACATCACTTCCTCTTAAAATTCTTGAAAGCTAGAAACCAAACATTCAGAAAGCTTAACGGGCACAGGAAAGAAACGCAAAGATTTTTTCCATCAAAAAATAAAAATAAAAAGGCCACACAAAGGTACGCTGTTGACATGGTACCATTAAAGTTCCATTTCATAATAAGAACACGTATTATTAAAATCACATCTTACAGAGATGTATGCAGCTGCATACATCTTACAAATATAATATATAATATTACAAAGCCTTTCTCAAATCAGCAGGGTTCTGCCTGGAATCAGTCTGCATGTACCTCTATAGTACGTTAAGAACTGTGCAAGAAGAAGTGAGTATGTTAAGAAGCATGAGACACAGCACAACAAATTTCAGATCTAGCTATCCACTACTAATTTGTGCAAACAATCTTTGATTGTAAACTTGTAGAAGTCCAACTCGTAAGTAATATTTTAAAAGTCAAGGTTACATTAACAGTGCAGATCCATAGAGAATACACTTCTTGTAAACTTCTGTTTGCAATGCATTGTTCTCCAGGGAAGGACAGTGTCAACAGCTTTCAACATAGGATGCAAATTTAGAAAAAAGGAATTTCTTCTTAAAAAAATACTTTCCAAAAATACCATGAAGTCAAAAGTAAGGAAATTTAATTCTTTATGCCCAGCACAGGAGCTTCTTAAACAAGAAGTTATGCATATTCTTTTGTAAGAAAGGAAATAGGAAGGCAAACAAAGAAGCTATAAAAAAAAAAATCACATGGGTATACTAAATCAGCAGAATACAAAAAGTTACTAGAATTGAAGTGCTATCCTGGAAATTCACTCCAAGTGGAGCCAGAAGGGAGAAAAGAGTAGGACAGGTAAAATGCAAGTTGGATATTAGGAAGGCTAAAAGGAAATAAGTAGAGCAGATAGCTAAGGAGACAAGAACAAATACAATAAAACCTCTCAGTAGATCAGAAGTAGGAAACTTGAAAGGGAATCACTGGACTTGCTGGAGCAAGGTTTGAAATAACATGTGAAGGAGATAAGGACATTGCAAACAATCCAAATGATTTCTTTTCATCAGTCCATGCCGTGGAAGATGTTGGGGAAATACATACCCGACTTTTCTGATAAAGAGAAACTTCAAACTGAAAAATCAAAAAAGGATGAGAGAACACAATAATAAATTGAAAGTCATGTCATGAGGGAGGAGGCTCCTGCCCCACTTGCATCAACATTTTACTGTTGATTTTAGCAGGGACAGTCTTTTGCTTCAGAACTGAATGGCAAAAAGGCCAGCAGTCTCATCATAGGAAAAGGCAGAGCTGGGCATCACAGTGAACTGTTCAGTGTACAGCAGTGGTCCGAAGAGCAAGCAAAATATTAGAATATAAAAAATCAGACAGGGACAATGGAAGGAGTTATACTATTAATCAATATATGACCTCTTGTGGAGTATCTATTCAGTTTGGAGTTCTCCCTCTAAACCAAGGACAGTGGCTTTCAACAACAATTGACAAAAACGACCATGGCATGAAAACTCAAAAAGCTGGGAAGAACTAAGACGTTAACAAGGAGACGAATAAGAGGGACACTGCAGAGCTGTATAATAATCCTAAGTGATGTAGGTAAATAGGATGCTCTCACACTTAACCTTTCTCACGTTACTGGAATAAAGGGCCACTCAGTGCAACAGAAAGATACCGTTTCAGAAATTAAGAGACTGATGGAATTTACTGCATAAACCCCAGAACTGTGCAACTCACAAGAACAGTTAGTCTCCTGACAGGAAAGGGTGTTAATGATTACATCCACAGCTCATGACAATAGCAGGGAATATTCTTTGCTGCTGTTTTTCTTTCACCTATTTGAATGTGCTGAGACACAAAATTCACATGGGCTTTCCTGATACCAATATATCTGTGATGACCTCACTGTGGGAGGAAAGAAGAGACTTGCATGCTTTTTCTTGACTACCCATTACAAGGCCTTTCTTCTTTTTGAAAGCCATCTCATGCTAACATCAGAAAGAAATGACCTGCTCTTCTAAATTCCTAATTCCTAATCTTCTAGATGCAAAAAAATAGAGTGATATTGTTTTTTTCTTTCTTGTTCATATCCATATAAAGATGTTAGTGACATGGCAAGATACACATAAATCTTCAGAACCACTCATTTAAAAACATGTGCTTTTCCTTCTTCCCAGCACATGAAGAGTAGCTTTCCTATGAGACTTTGAAAGAAGAAATTCCTTATTCAAGCAGAAAAAGGTATCTCGGAATCCTTCAGCTGCTGAAGACGACTATTTTCAATAAGTCATTCCGTAACAGGTAGTATTTCCACAAAGACTATTCCACTCTGAATCTCCCAGTTCCAGACCCTTCCCTTTTTTCTTGCCCTAACGCATGAGACCTTTCAGGTAGGATATGTGAGAGGGGAGGAAGGGGAGGTAAGATGAGGTATGGTGCACGGCTGCAGCAAGGATAACGAGGACACGCAGGGCTGCTTCAAATGTCTGCTCAACTGCAGTGTGCTGTCTAATCTATGCTGGATTCTACACACTTAACGCAGGTGGCTGATGATTCAGAAATGTGCCAACCATCTGCACTGGATATCCCGGGTCCCAATCTAGAATTAAGACAGAAGCACTACACTATCAAAGTGCAAAATCTGTGACTTAAATTGCAAGGTAGGACCATCCACTGCGTTTCTTGCATAATCCATAACATTTCAGAGCTACCCAATTCAAGCAGAAGGAAAAGTCTGCCATTTCTGTCCTCAACAGAACAGTTTTAAATGATGTTTTCAACATTTGGGTGCCTCAGAATCTGGAATTTCATCTTGGTACATTATAAAGACATCAAACTCTGTGAGGACTTAAAGGTACGTTTGATCCTGAAGAGTACTGAGCATCAAATGCTGGCCATCTCTGTAACTTAGATTTGCACCAATAGATCATAAAAAAATCAATTTAGAAGCATACTCCCTTTTTAAGTTGGATAAATATTTTCATGATTCAATAATTATTTGATAAACACTTCAGGGAAACATCTAAGTCTTTTTATTAATTGTAAACCACTATTTTGAGTAATCACCATTCATAATTTGCTATCTCCAGTGATTAGCTTCTGCTCTGTAATTCAACACTGTCCAGTCCTACACACAGCTTTCTTAACAGCTACCCAAACAAATTCCCTGGAAAGTACAGTACTGCAGACACACTCTTCACAACACACAGTCACAGAGCTGTGCAACTTCAATATAGTATCATTCAACGAACATTTTCAGAAGAAAAAACTCCACTTAAAAGTGTTTCTGAAAAATACAGAGGTCATGAAAAAATAACAAAATAAATTACTGCTTTTCTTTCAAATAAACATTAACAAACACTCTTTTCCTATGTTTTTCCAGACCACAATTCGTCAAACATTGTTCTGTGTTTCATGGGTTTGCCATTAACCATTTTATCTGTCTGATATTGTAGAAAAGGAATTTGGAAAGAACAGATTCTACCAAGTTCCCACAGGTCCTAGGAGGCTCCAAAAGCAGAAAAATAAATATTATCCAAATTCAAAGAAAAACCTAGACAGGCTTGCAACCTTACAACGGTGAGTAATCCTAAAAAAAATTACAAGTGTAAATCTATTAAGTGTAACACAAGAATAGATGTTATCAATACATAGATATGTAACTTGAGATGTACAGCTTTCAAAATAGCTGAAACCTCGACTTACTGTGGCTGTGCCGGAGACAGTTTGTGCATTTGTGTCAGCTGCACTCTGTTCGGAGTGTGTCTGAGCAGGAGGGTACATGTTTAACGTGTGCTCTGGAACAGTGGTTTGGCCTGTGTAGTCTGGAGCTGGATGAGGATGCGGGGCTGTATACTCTGCAGGGATGCCGTTCTGAGGTGGAGCAAACTGGGCTGAGGCATAAGGCTGTGCCATTGTGTCAGGAGGTGCTGTAGCTTCCTGATTACCCTGTAAAGAGCAAAGGAGAAAAAAGAAGAAATGTGGAGTGAGACAAAATAATTTAGAAAGTGATGGTAATATTCTGCAAGACTGCTGGCCTGAAAAGGGCACAAAGTTTGTTTCTTGAGGAGAATATTTCCTGTCTGAATTAAACCCCTGTTTGGATAACCCCACTCAATCTTATTACAATGAGACAAATGAAACTGCTGTTCCTTTGATAATTGCAGACTAGTCTTTAACCGTAAAAGGTCAGTGGAATCTGCCTGAATTAATGCCTCAACTCAGACACGGAAGAGGGCTCAGATTATTCCAAAAGTTACTAAGTGCAACTGTCGTTACAGATACCTGATAAAGTTAGGTCTATCATCTATTATGATTTACTATTTTCAGAACACAATACATGCAACCTACACACCACAGAATTTGGGTGTATACTGTTCACATACTTGCAAATATTTACATGAAATAACGCTCTGTTAGATATGCAGAACTACTTTGAGGTACACTGTATTGAGCAACGGCACTGAACAAATGTAAAACAATGATGAGATTCTAGTTTGAAATCACAGTATTAAATATTTTAATCTAAAAATACACCAATTTAAAACCTGAAGTTAACATGAAAGAAAAATTCTACACTGTAAGATGTCAAAATAAACATATTTTAAAACTTTAAAAGCTACCAAAATTTGAAGACAATGTTATTTCATTTCCATGTTACAATAAGCCCGTACAATTAAAAAACAAATGCCCTCACCTCTCTATAGATAGTTTGATCTGTCTTTATGTTTGATATGACAGTGGAAAGTTAGACAGGTTAATTTATCAACTATAGGCTTGTGATTAAATTCTCTACTCATACCAAACAATGATAACGGGGGCAAACGTAGAGAACACTTTTTTAGCACGTATTTAAAAGATGTCCAAAGCATGATGCTACAGATGACACAGCATTAGAGGCCATGCATACGGGGACTAGGGAGGGCTCTAAAGAATCCTGCACTGAGCTAGACTAACTGGCTTGAAAGATGAAGCTACCTCTATACATATCAAGTAATGTAAAAATAAATAATTCAATGAAAATTAAAGAAATTTTAAAAATATGTTGTCAGTCTCCCACCACAGCACGTACAAGTACCTGCAGAGGAATATTGGAGGGATTTTGTTTCTTTGTCCTCATCAGTTCTTGATTTCCTAAATTCAAATTAGGACGGAAGAATAAAAGTCACTCTTTTGCATTTCATACCTAACGTCACTACCAGTCACTTGCTACTAATTGAGACATCAGTGATCTGACCTGAACTGGGCCTATACTCAGGAGCTTTCAAAAATTCGAAAATCACGGCACAGGAACAAGCTTTGGGTACATGGCAGGATTAGAAGGGAAAACTACATTTTCCTTCAAAAAGGCATTGTACCCTAAAAAATTAAGCATTATAGTAGGAAACTAAACCTCCCTAAATTTAATGCCATCTTTTGCTGCCCTATTAGTGTATGGCCATGAGCAAGTAGTTTACGTTGTGTCACTCAGCTACATTTAAAATGAAAACACTGGCATTTAACTACTATGATTCCCCTCACAAGGTTAAGTCAGGAAACTTCATTTGTACGTATCTATAATCTTTTTAAAGTTACTGTTGCACTGAAATTTGCTGGGATTTAAATTTCAACATAGGTAAAAAAATCCTTGTAATTTCACCTTAGTAAGAGTACACCTATACCTTTTTGCACTGAAATTGCAAGGCCCCTTTTTTTTGCACTTGGTATTTTCTAACTATTAAAAAAAATTTTCTAACTATAAAAAAAAATTGAGATGGAATAACAAGCAGCAATGAATGGATTCCACCAGAGAGATTTATTAGATTTTAAAGGAGTACTTCAAAAACTTTTTCGGGGAGGAGAGTGAGGCCTTGAACTTTTTACATCAATTGTTTTAAGAAGGCCTTCAGCAAACGGTAAGAACGAACAACAGCAACTTGAAGTTCTGCCCCTAGAATCATTTGCACTGTGCTAGCTTTGAAACACAGTAGCTGGTTACTGCTGGTCTGTAAGCTATTCCTTCATGTCAGATGCTAAACATGGCATTAAAGTCAGCAGGTGTTAAAAAAGAGCAATAACAGCAACAAAGGGACCAAGAGCTAATGTCCAGGTGCATTTCATCTAAAGGTTTTTACACTACCTTGAGTTCTAACACAGATGTTGTGGAGACCCCCACTGTTTCTCATTAACTTCGACAGCAGTTCCAGGAGACCCTAATTAATATTCAAAGCATTCACACTTAGTGCTAATTGCAGCTAATATTTAATTAAGAACATTGAGCTGTTACATGATTTCTTACCCATAACTTCAAATGCTTCCCTTTTTAGAATTATCATAAAATGACACACTGCACTGGAAACTTCTGCACCTTCACACTGCTGCGACTCTTCTACCTCATCGACTACACTTGTTAAGGTGAGGGCTGGATCTCTTATTAAAGGGGGCCCAGTTTTAAAAAACAAACAATGAAGGATCAGCATGTTTATATAGCTTCTACATATTCAAAGGTTTACAGCCTTGCCACTTAAAAAAACATGCTTAGGGTAGGAAACTGGCATGCAAGGTTATCTGCCCAGGCATTGTGTGTTCATCACACTGTTTGAAAAAAAAAAATTATATGACAATGACAATAAACCTGAGCTATTCTTCTCTTAAAAGCAGCAGATTACTGTAGCCTTCTTTAGGTTTAAAATTAATGTGATTTTCTCATTCACGGTGAACTCAATAGACAATACAGTATAAAAGCACCTATGTATAAACCTGCTATTTACTACTAAGCTATCTATTGCACCAACATTTTAAAATATGAATTTACATTAAGAACAACGCAGTTTAAACTAACAGATGTTTGAATATACGTTGGTTGCCGGAAACTCCAGACTACACAAAACTCAGCTATATTTGAGTGGAGCTTAATAAACCAGAAATTCTAAGTATGGTCCTCTAAAATGACACATAAATGTGCCCTTTAAAAAAAAGCAAATTAAAATCAAAAAAATGAAATAATAGCTGTAACGCATCAAGTTGAGTATATGAAATGGCCCTGAAAGCAACAGGAAACATTGATCCTAAATTAGCCTACAAACTCAGGTATTAGAATTATCTCAAAACTGCGGCTGACGGTACACAGACGCTGTTTGATACAATGTAGGCAGGGCAGGCTACGCAGAGGTGGTCATTTCAGACTCCGCTCCAAGTAGCTTTACTTTAAGTTTAAATGACCCCTTAGTGCTCACTTTTGTGCCTGGTTTCTAATAAAGTAGTTGCTGGCAACCGAAAGAAGAACAAAGGATGGCAGACAGTCAGGCTCTGCTAAATGTTTTGGCCTGAGATTTAATGAAAACCACATTTCAACTGAAAAATATGCTTTACGTGGCAGTGTATAAAATCAACTTTATTGCTTTCTGCTTAAATGTTGAACTCTACAGAACAAAACAAGAAAGTGTTCTGAAGATGTAGGTAAGCAAAGTTGTTCCTATTCCATATATATTATTCCACTTGAAGAAAAGGTAGAATTTAAAAATGCTCCTAGTATCTCAGATCTCAACATGCCTTTTCAGCATCTTCTGTTCTGAAAGGATTTCTTAATTACAAAATGCATGAAAAGTATCAAAATGTAACAAAGCAAGCTTGTTATATTTGTACACAAAAGACAGTACAGAAAAATACTACTTATGCAGTGTTCTCTTTTAAAAACACATTTGCAGCATAAAACTGTATTTATTCAATGAAAACCTCTCTGGCTGCCTGCATTTTAAAGTCTAACTAACAGTTTATTGTTTGTTTTACTCTCTTTCAGTTTGGTGTGTTTTATTTCCTTGGCACGAGATATTTCACATTTAGAGAAAGCCTCTCATACTGTAGTTAAATGAGCCAAACTGCATTATATCCTCGGGGCATGGAAACAAAGAAGAAAAATGCAACATTACTCTGTAAACCTGCTGGTTATAAGAACGGCTCAGTTAGATATATCAAGCGCAGCAGAGACACATAATCGCTGCCGTAGTTCGCCTACTTTCAGAATGACTTAAGCAACAAAACATGTATTAGAAGAGTCTTGCACACAGTGGTGCAGCTGGATATAAGAAATGCCCTGGCTTGAGTAAAATCAGTTTCAAGTGAAAATAAAAGTGAAAATACCTGCTGTACCATCCTGCTCCCTTTATCCTCCATAAACTTAGCAGCTGCTCTAGTCCCAGGCCATACAGCATCTGCCCAAAGCAAGCATCAATTATGGATGAGGGCGTGAGAGCACTGTAACGTGTGTATGAGTGTGGCTGATAGGGGTGTTGAAGGAGGGGGAGCTAACGCAAGGCTTACTGACCTCCCTCTCAACATCTGACTGCTCCCAAAACCTAATCCAGATGGGACTCTTTCAGTTTGCTGGGCCTCGCCCCATCAATCACAGCAGGCCCCTCCTCTGTCTCCTGCTACTAGTTATGGAGTGCACCACTGAGCAGATGATTACACACAGAAGAAGAAGAAACACAGCTTGACTACATTAATAGCTGTTTAGAAAACATTAGAAATGCTACTATGTAAGTTGCTGCAAGCTGAACGTTTCCATTTTAAAACTAAGACTCTGTATTCAAAGTTATAAAAGCCCCTGAACTTCCACTGCTTTGACTCTTCAATAACTACAATGTACAGTAACATGTATGTATTTCTCTGTGATTGAGTCTTCCTACGTGTGCTAAATTTAATAGCAAGAAGACTTCTGTTTCAAAGCTGCTGAACTCCATAAGTAAACCACGTATAACTGCAGCAGCCTGTTTTACATTAAACGTACTTTATCCTTCCTTACAACTGAAGTATTGTTTCCTTTTTTGTTTCATTTCATGATAACCCTCTTGCTTACCAGGGGAAATATTTCAGAAATGCTTCCCAGGTTTTATTCGGTAAGGCACTTGCTAAGCAAGTTAATGCTTCACTGTTAAAAGAACTTGCCTAGGTACTCCAGAGGAAGTTTA